AGCTTAAATAGGTAATCTCCTAGTTAGGTTGCAGGTATGGCAGCTAGTGTAGAACCCAGGCAGACTACTTAAATTAGATACCAAAAGTACACGTGTAGCTAGTTGTATCCTTGTAAAATTGATGTAATATCGTATTTATCTGAATAAAGCTAAGTGCCGGGGACCTAAGTGGTCACCTTAATATTAAAAAAAAAAAAAAAAAAAAAAAAAATCTCAAAAAAATCTCACTTCTTATAGACTTTGCTTAGAAGACAAAATATATTACTATTTATTAGGCATATGAAATTATATAGTAGAGTGAAAGTAACTGAAGATGTTTTTTTGTCAAAACCTATTTCTTTTTTTTTTTTTTTTTTTTTATTAATATATTCACAATGATTGTGTTGTAACAAGTTAAACAAATCGTATCACCTATTTGAAGATAAGAAGATAAAGTATTGTTAGCTTGTCCCTTGGTAATAACATGTTCAGTTACCCTTTTCCAATAAGTTAATGAATTTCTTAGGCATGTAACGATTACACAAGGTCCAGTAATAGGCATTTTGTCTTATAAGCGAAGTCTTTCAAATTTTGAATTATTTTGGATTAATTTTAACAGTGAATAGTAACGTTTATTTAGAGCTAGGAATGGCTTTCAGAGCGATTTTTTTATTAGTGAAACGTTACATTCTCAAAAAGTATTTTAAAGTGTATAAATAAGTTACCCGGGCAATTGATTTACATCAGCCAATCAGAAGAAAGTCGTCCTATGAACCTGTTAGTGCATACATACATTTCGTGTTTATTTGCTGACCTCAGTCGACTTACGTGTCTTTCGGATGATCACGTGATTGCCACGGCTTTAGACGTCCCCTTTAAACGACCCCCCCTAAAGTTGGTGAAAATATATTTAATCGTTAATAATAAAACAAATTTATTTACTAAAATAAAATTGATAATGATAAAACCAAAAGAGCAAAGCATTAGTATTAAGCAGCTAAAAGAATTATTTAAAGAAATTTTTTTGCGGTGCATTAGACTGTTAGATGGCTACAAGAAATTTTTAACCACCGTGATCAGTGATGTAATTTGTTTCGTCCAATGGGAAGTTGGAGAGAAATTAGTAAACCAAGAATATTTGGCTACGCATATAAAAATTTTTTTGAGCGGTTAGTAGCGCATTTCGCTAATCTATTCACGCGCGCTCTGCGCTACAATGAGTATTCTTTTAATGAAAAATTTCCCTATATAGAAATCGACGGTTCCTAATTTATAAATTGATCAGCACTGAATAGATATATGGTCCTATCAAGGCAAATGGCTATTGCACAAAACTCAACTTTAACACGCGTGCGTAGCTGTGATAAAAAATGTTCGTTTGTTCAACGCAGATAATACAGTAATAAAGATAATAAAACAATCGCGCAATTTTATTAGCTCGTGACCATCTGGTCACGGTTTTCTGTCATGTGCTAGTATTATAAACGTAATTATCATCACGAATATTTTTCACGCGCCACGAGAGTCTTCGTTGATTTGAAAGGTCAAGTATGATTTGTTTTTTTTTCAAACCCGGCGTTTCCCCGGCCTGTAAATCCTGAGGGGTTCTTCTGCCTCTGGTTTTGTTGGCGAAATGGCTAGATAGCGATTTTCAAGGGATATTATAAGGTTCTGGTTCTTTAAATCCAGCGTTTCCCCGACCTGTAAATCCTGAGGGGTTCTTCTGCCTCTGGTTTTGTTGGCGAAACGGCTATATACTGTGGCGACCTTATAATCATCTTGAGAAAGTTTCGGGTTAAAAAATAAAATACTATTTCTCCAACTTATTCATTTGATTTACTATATTTATTTTTTAGGCATTATGGTTTGTGTTAAATATTATCATCACATTTCGTATTGAACATTAATATATATATATTTTATCCACAGGCTTACGTTGAACTTTTGAAAGAAATTATATTCGATGAAAACTTTACTGTTGTTAAATTTTATAAAAAAATAGATTTTCCTTTTGTTCAAAAGACTAAAGCAGAGGAAGTTTTATACAAAGCGTTGGAGACCGTCGCTTCTGAAGATAATGTGAAGGCTCAGAAATTATTAGTAAATTTTAACGAACTTATCAACTCTAACTCAGTGAAAATTTATTGGAATGGTGTTTATATCCGTGATGAGAAAAATAAATCCCAATATATTAGAAATATATTGAAAGAAAAAAGGGTTAGTATAAATGAATTGTCCGCATACTTAGCAAAATCATAATTATTATTTACTTGCTTATTCAAATAATCCAGGATCAGGAAGCTTGTCAAATAGAGTCTAATGTATTAGAAGAGCACATTATTGAAAGCAATCTTTTGTTAAAAAGAAAACGACAAAATTCGGGAAAAGGATTTTCGACTCCTCTGAATAAGGTTAGTATGTGACATAAATTTATCTTACTAGAAACATATTATAATCCTCTGACTTTCTTTCAATGCATAGGTCAGAATTTTTGACACGGGATTCAATAGTGATCTTGGACTTTATAATGGAGAATCGTCCTCATCAGATTCTGAGATTGTACCGAAATTACTTACAAATGTCTTTCTCGAGGTAAAAGATTCTGGTGTTGATGATGCTGATAATATTTTAGAATCTGTGGACAACTATGATAATAACGTGGATATCGATGAACAAAGCAATCCTGAAGTATATCAAAGTCCTATACTGAATAATAATATTTTAGAATCTGTGAATCACGAAGTACAACAAATACCTATTCCTGAGTCCGTGGATAATAATAAACAAAATGATAGTTTTCCAAAACGCAAAGTTACAAGAAACAAACCTAAATATATCCAGCATGATCTTGCACAAGAATTGTTAACAAATTTACATTTGTGTCCATTGAAAGGACATAAATGGCTCTGGGAAGACATTGATATTATTAATCTTTTCAAAGATAACGAAAATACTAAAACGTAAGAAATTTTTTATATTGTAGATATATTATATTTGATTTCTATTATATGCATTTTATTTTAACAGGCCATTGAGTATTGGTATTGCAAATTTCCATAATATTTCATGTATACAACCTCTGCCATCATCTATGATCACATACATACAAAAACAAATGGAGAACGATGATGATGACACAATATATTTTGATAATGAAAAAAAAATTGGAATAGATAAATTTGCAATTGACATTGAAGACGAAGTAATGGAATTTCTGAACAAATTTCAAAATTGTGTAAGTTTGCATGTTTATTGCACAATTAAAATATTGCCAGATTAAACTAACTTTATTTTACAGATTTCATTAGATATATTGCGTCAAACTTTGCACAAGAATTCAGTCCATGATTTTCCAAATCTTAATTTTAATATTCGTTATGCCTACCAGTTTTTTAATCACATGTATGAAAAGCTTCCTGATTTCATAACACATTGTTATATTTTCAAAATGCGAATCCTTTCATATTAAATATTAATTTTTTATAAACAGGTATAATATTTATTCAAATGATGTGTTAGCACGATCTCTCACTGAATCCGAATATAATTCATATATATGGACTCCACTTTTATGCTATGCATTTATGGAGAAAGATGATATTCGATTTTCCAGGTATGTTTAAACTACCAGGTACTATTATATACTTTTACCATGATTAATTTTTATTACACAATTCAGTGGGGAAGTTTCGTCTGTAGCATATGACAAGTTGAAAAAACTTGCTCAAATTCAAACAAAAAGTAGCCCAAAAATGGACTCAAGAGCGACTATCATGTCAATTGGTCAAGAAGTATTAATTCAGGAGAATGGAAGATATGACAACGCCAATAAAAGAAAGAATGATTTAACAAAATTGGAATATTGCTCAAAGGTGTTACTCACCAGTGCATATCTTGCCTTACCAACCGATGCACGTTCAGATATTCATAGGTTTGAGATATACTCGATCCAAACAAACGGTGAATAGTTTATCTAATTTTTATAATTGGGTGCTAATAATAAGCTAATATTCCCCCAGAACTTTCGTTATCATTATTTGTAGCATCCTATGTATTCGAAAACGCAATATGCATGCTTGGTTTAACAGACATTATAATTCCACGAACTGTTGATGCTTTCCCAAAATGCGTTGAAGCGGTGTGTAAAGTGCTATCATGGAAGGTTTGTATTATGCTTATTGCGACTTTTGTTGATATTTGGGTTTATTAACTAATTCAATCCTATTTAGGCACGATCCCGAAATAATGCCAAAATTTTTCATGAGTTAATTGGAAAATCAATTTCCCAATTACACGAAAGAAAATATTTCACTCCGAAAAGGCTTGCAAATATATCAAAATCGTAATTGACAAATTTTCAAAGGTTATTATAGCTATCTCAATAAAAACGCTAAGTTTTGATACCACAGGTTTTGTATAATAAAAGAATCTATAATACTGGTCACTTTTTCAAGAAATTTCGCGCATATAAACGCTGCCTTCATAAATGTTAACAATTGATTAAATATAAATCTAATCATAGTTGGCAATAAAGTTAATTTGCATTTTTTTACTATTAACACCATCACGCGTATTCCAAGATCATATGTACATGTTATCGATAACAATGCATCATAAAAAATAAAAAGAATCTTTTTAAACATGTTTTTTTCTCTTGCAATTCACAGGTGCATTACATGCATTGGAATTTCCTATAGTTTTCGAATTTCTTCTGTGATATATGTTATCGATATATCACATGATTAAATTAACATATATACAGGTCTCTATTCACACAATTCGTGATCAGACTATAAAATTAAATTTATGTTCCTTTGGAAAACGGTTTTATATCATATAGATTTATATATGTGAAAAGGCGGGGTGCTAAGTTACACATATTAGTTAGATCAGTGTTGTTAATTGGAAAGTCTAGTGATGATTACTGGAACTAGAAGATTACTAGATAGAATTGGAAGATATAGTAGTTCTAGTGCTAAGTTGTTACTAGACTCTTCTAGTTAATTTTTTTTACTACTGGTTAGTAATTAATGTTTCTAATACTTTACAAATTTTTATTAAATTTAAACTAAAGTTTAATCATATATATACTGTATATTAACAAATTAGATATCTGATACGGCACGTAGCAGTGTTGGCATTGGGCAATGATCAATAAAATTTATTGGAATTGGATATATGCCTAATTGGAATTGGGCATATGTCCAATAAATTCCAATAAAACTTTCATTATGTCCAATTAGTCCAATTGCCAACACTGGCACGTAGTGTGAGAAAACTTATTCTTAATTTATATAAAATACAGTAGATTGTAAATTAACATTGTATGCGTAACATATATGATTTATACAGTCAAACCTTCCTAAATGTATATTCTCTAAATGCATAGTCTTTCTAAATGCATGGCTTTGCATGGTTCCAACTCATATGACACTTATAGATTTTTACCCCTAAATGCAATACCTCTCTAAATGCAAGATTTTTTGGCCGCCTACGGCTATGCATTAAGAGAGGTCTAACTGTATATAAACATCATATAATTTGACCAATCAGGATTAACAATTCTTTGTACTATTTAGAAAAAAAATATATATAGTGATCTAGACAAATTTAGTTATACAAAATTAATTTTTTTTAAATCAATTTATATTTTTAAACTATTTGAAACTACTTAAGATAAAATTTTATAACAATTAACTAAATATTAAAAAGTTTTATTAGTAACATAGTTTTATTATAACAGAGTGAAACCCACAATAGAAATCCGCGAAAATGGTTATATGGGCTGATTTATAAAATTGGCAATAGCTTTTTATCTAGTAACTTGTTTTAAACAGTTTAACTGCCAAAATGTTTAGCTCATTGAGAGGATTCAAACAAGACCAAAATTATCAAAATCCAATTACAAGATCTCAGGTTATTGTCAATTAAACAAAATTTTAACTAATAACCCTAATTATCTGACCAATGAAATTGGCTAAACCAATCTTTGTGTAACTCATTTCATTGGTTTTTTAATAAAAAACCAATGAAATAGGTTACACAAATATTGGCTTGGCCAATTTCATTAGTCAGATAATTAGGGTTATTAGTTAAAATTTTGTTTAATTGACAATAACCTAGGATCCTGTAATTGGATTTTGATGATTCTGGTCTTGTTTGAATCCTCTCAATGAGCTGAACATTTTGGTAGTTAAATTGCTTAAAACAGGTCACTAGATAAAAAGTTATTGCCAATTATATAAATTAGCCTATATGTTACATTATTGATACAAATCATTATCTAATATAATAAGTAACTAACTCTAACTAACCTATCACTAACCCTAACTAAGTAAGATCTGCATCGATACCTCCATCGCGGGTTTCACCCTTTCATGTTTTATTTACTATATGCTACTATAGTAATTATATAAAAAATAATCTATATATATTCTTCTCTTAATACTATATAATATAATTATATATTGATATATTTTTGAATTATTACTATAGTGGTGATTTAGTGAAGTGGTGGGGTTGCTGCACCCCCAAGCGGCAGGTCTAGAGTTCGAATCCCATGGATGACGATTTTGAAAAT